GAATATATATATATATATACATATATATATATATATATATATATATATATATATATATATATATATATATATATATATATGTAGGGGAGTGGTGGCACAGAAGGAAGGAGATGGTATGTCATGGATTGAAGGTGCGCAATAAATATTCTGAACAAACTTATGACACAAGTGGTCAAATGGTTGTTTAAAAACACAAGTGAGAGGCCTGCTCTAATGTCTGCAGCAGCATAATGCTTTGTCAGCTTTTTTCTCTCATCACTGTATTAAATCAAATGTTAATTTAACATTTCACTCTCAGAGATTTCCTGAGAAAGCTTTTCTTTAGAAAGGCTGTGTTTAGACAGATGACTGAGTTTATCTAAATCAAATTTAAACCAAAACTACCGTAATGATTTATTCCTAGTTGGTGTAATTATCTGTTAAAACCATGACATCGTATGTTAATATCTGTTTAGCCCCAGCAGGACCCGTGCCTGATAAAGAACCAAAAAGCAGACATCGATATTTGAAGGTGGCTTGTTGCTTCGGGAGTCTTTGTGTCATTTTGCTGTTTGGACTCATCGGACTCTGTGTTTATTGTAAGTAAACAGGTTTTTCATACATAAACCCACATAAACATGAAGAATAATATACACATGAAAAACTGCTGAGGTACAAACAACCCAATTTGTAACCCAGTGATGGGACAACTTTGGACTGAGTCAACCATGGGTGCCGTCGTTTTAACTCAGCAGGTTATCAGTTTGATCCAGTATACAGGATTAATTTTAAATGTACATACACTTGTTGCCCATGGTTCTACACATGCTTTATGGGAGCGTGGCAAAGAGAAAGCCACTGTTGAAGGGAACTCATAATAAATCTGAATGGTTTTTAATCAGTCTAGCCAAATTCTAATTTTGGCAAAAACTTAAAGTTACCTTACAAATGTTTGCAAAAAACAAGTTAACTTTATGTGTGTGTGTTTTATTTTGTATAGTTGCTTTAAATCCTCCGAGCGATGTGGATGAGTTGCATCATCTGAAAGCCAATCAGTCAGCTCTACAGGCTGAAAATCACAACCTGACCAACCTCAACATCAAACTCAGATCAGACTATAAAATTCTGACAATACAGTTTGACAACCTGACTCGGACATTTACTGTCTCAGACAGCAAGATCAAAAACCTGACTGGAGAAAACCAGAAGCTCACAATGCAAAAGCAAGAGCTGGAGACACAAAAGGAGGAGTTGGAAACTCAAATCCAGAAGCTGGAGGCAGAGACTAGAAACCTCACAGACCAAATGACAAACATGGAGGCGATCTGGAATAAGCAGAACATCAGTCGAGCTCAGTGGAGCGTTGATGCCTACTGTCCAAATAAAAATGGTGCGTTCAGAACTCATAATTGTAATTATGATCCCACAGTGTAGTCCTGGTATTTATGAGCCTGTTTTAATATTTTCAGGAAGAACGTGTTCAGCTTGTCAGAAAGATTGGCTACTCTTAGAGTCCAGCTGTTACGTCATTAATAACCCTTATGAACCTGATCAGAAAACCTGGGAAGAAGCTCAAGCTGGCTGTAAAAGCAAGACTTCAGATCTGGTTTCTGTGGAGAATGAAACTGAAAAGGTGATGAAATATCTTCATATTTGCAAATCTATTAATTGTAGGTTTGAAGAAGGGCCATGCGAGTCTGACACATTGTAGTCATTTTAATGAGTTAGTTAAATATCTTTGATAGCATCTTATTTCATTCTTTCAGAAATTCATCAGTGACAAAAGCTGGAGCAGTTCAGATACCAAAGGATACTGGATCGGCCTTAGAGCAGAAAACAACAAATGGAAGTGGGTCGATGGAAGTGATCTGGCAAACAAGTAAGACATGGACCTTACACAACAAATCAGTAAATCTAGCAGTCATGTTCAAGCTATAATTTATTTGTCCACAGCGGCTGGATGCAAGAGCCTCCAAATGATGGTTGCTGCGCAATTTCTGTCCAAAACCAAGACTGGAAATCAGTGAAGTGCAGTTCCAAGCAAAAGTGGATCTGTGAAATGAAGGCTTTATCAATTTAAAATCTGCAATCAATTTTTTGGTGTGATATGTCAATGTGTAAAATAGTATAGCTTTTAACAGACAATTGTTTTTTTCAACCTTTGTTTTGACAAGTTAGTCCCGCTGAGCCTCGGGGACTCATTTACAAGAGAGACCTGATTTCTTAATAAAGAGTGATGACAACAATGACTAACAACAACAACAATAGACAGTAACAAAAGAGGCATACAAAATTTAAATTTGTATATTATATATATATATAATATACAAAATTTAAATTTGTATATTATATATATATATATAATATTCAATATAATGCTTGATTGTTTTACTATGAAACATTACTGAAATAATCAAATAGTAATTTTTAAAGTGTGTTGTTTTACTAAATATTCAATAAATAAGAGTTAAAGTGTGTTGTTTTACTAAATAATCATTAAATAAGCGGTATTATGAAAAGCTGTATTTTCTGTTATTTTGCAGTTTCTTGTAAGCCATAAGGTCAAATCTCGAGGGTACTTCATCTCAGAAGAGTAAAAAAAATACAACTTGCATTTTTTCTGCAATGTTGAGGCCAAGATAAAACAGAATAACAGACAGGCTCTGTGGATGCTACTCTTTTCTTTCCCTTCTGTGTCTGCTCTTTTGCTATTTTTCACAACAGGATTTTTACTGGTTCTGATAACAGAAAAGAACACCTCAAGGCCGAGCTCACAGCTGCGAGCGTACGTGCAGAATCATGGGACCCAGAGAAAGTCCAGCCCGTCAGATCTAACGACCTTTTTACACTGTGTATTTAAAGTGGGTTCAGGGTGGAAGAAGGTCAGTTGAGACCAAAAAAAAGGTCAATTCAGACTTCCTGAACTGGCATCAACTTTTTGTTTTGTTGACGTTAGGATATGTTTCTGAACCCAGTGATAAAAATGGTTAATTTAAACATCAAGCCTCCTCCTTCTGAAAACCAGCAGTGCAGAATGGGTTAAGCCAGATTAAGAGTGTGTTTTAATAACTCATTAGTAGCTATATATATATATATATATATATATATATATATATATATATATATATATATATATATTCAACCTTTTATTTAGACAGGTAAATCCCATAGAGTCTCGAGGACTCATGTACAAGAGAGACCTGATTTCAACAAAGAATGATGACAACAATAGACAGTTATAAAAAGGCATGCAGATTTTTTTTTTTTAAATAAGATGGCAAAAAAATAAAACAACTAGATTATAAGGCAAATGTAGAAGACAAAAAAAAAAACATGAACATGTCTGCATTGAATTCAATTCAATTCAGTTTATTTATATAGCGCCAAATCACAACAAAGTTGTCTCAGGGCACTTTACAGGAACATTCACATACATAAAAGCCAATTAGTAAAGTTCTCTATCTAAGAAATCCAGCAGACAAGTTGAATCTGCTTCTTGCAGTCTCCCATCCTGAGCAAGCACAGTGGCAACAGTGGAAAGGAAAAACTCCCTTTTAACAGGAAGAAACCTCCAGCAGAACCAGGCTCAGGATAAGTAGCCATCTGCTTTGACCGGCTGGTTTGAGAGGACAGGAAGGAGAGACAGATAAACACAGAATGGTAGGTCCAGGTATAGGTCCAGGTGTACCTGAAAGACAAAAAAAAAAAAAAACAACACATTAAGGATAGAAAAAATAATTACAAATTCAAAACAGGTTGAGCAGAGTAAGTAAAGACAGTAGCAGAATGAAAAGTGTGGTCAGTTTGTCCTCCAGCTGTCTAAGCCTATAGCAGCATAACTAAGGGACAGCTCAGGAAACCCAAGCCGACCCTAACTATAGGATTTAGCAAAAAGGAAAGACTTAAGCCTAGTTTTAAAACTGGATAATGTGTCAGCCTCACGGACAAAGAATGGAAGTTGGTTCCACAAGAGAGGAGCCTGACAACAGAAGGATCTGCCTCCCACTCGGTTTTTGTAAATTCTAGGAACCACAAGTAAACCTGCAGCCTGAGAGCGAAGTGCTCTGTTAGGAAAATATGGAACAATAAGATCTGTAATATAAGATGGAGCCAGGTTGTTGAGAGCTTTGTAGATCAGAAGCAGGACCTTGAATTCTATTCTGGATTTGACAGGGACCCAATGGAGGGAAACTAAAACTGGGGAGATGTGATGTCTCCTACTAACTCCAGTTAAGACTATGCATTGGTCCTTGCCAGGAGTCCAACAGATTCTTAAAGCCACTAGAGAGGTCAAGATCGAGAGCTTCAGGTCTTTTTGCAAGATATTCCAGGAAACAGGAGCAGAGTAGAAGGCCCTTTTGCCAAGTTCAGTCCGCACTGAGGGAACACTGCAGGTAATAATGTCCTGAGAGTGCACGCTGTAGCTGCACTCACGCAGAGACATGTAGGAGGAGATGTATGAAGGCAGCAGACCAAAAAGTGATTTAAAGATGAAAATGTA